ACACAAACAGCCCTGCCAAATTGATGGGTTAAAATGGCATCACTAGTAAATGAACCAAAGCAAATGGAAAACAAATCTAGATACGCTGGATAAAGTAAAACTTTTGTCTTCCTACCTTAATTTTCCTGTAAGATTATTATGGGTTGATACTGCGGTGCCCCAATGTACTGAGATAATTGCACTGGATTGTTTATAGCCTAGTCTTTGTGGATATATTTTTGTTAGAGAAAACAACAGCTTAATGTAAACTGTTTAACCCTTTCACTCATGTCTTAGGCCCCTGGCCTAGGAGTAAAAGGGTGACAACTTCTTTAAACTTTGTTGTGCATTATCTTTAGTTATCAAAATTCAAATAAGTTAAGTAAAAAAAAAATACTGATTTCCAGGTGATCTAATGTTAAAAATAATGCTTAGCAGAAACCTTTACAGTAAACATAGCTAATCTGCAGCTAGCTGAGAGAGATCACAGAGATACATTTACAAGTACCCTGTAGTTTCTATTTGCACCATTTTTTCCCCCAAATGCAAGCTTTATATTCTTTTTAAGACAGGAAAATTGACATGATAGAAATATTATTATCTATTTTCTGAGAGTCCCTCAGAAATGCATGAGCAACAAACCAGAAATGGTTGGAACAACAGAAAACATTTGTACCAGAGTGTAATCCAAATCATCTCTGTACAGAAACCCATTAAGCATCTCTCTCCATACCCAATTTATTTTGTCCAATAGTTCAGTCAGTAGTAAGCATGAGATAAAGTGCTGCTATTCAAACATCAAAACACTTGAAAAAAATTACCTTTTAAAATGTGTAAGCTTGCTAAATATGAAATAACACAACCAACAAACTGTCAGCCAGCCTGTGAAACCATACATAGTTCATGCTCTAGCAGACTAGAATGATAGAAATTTCAGTGGTGGTTTGGTTTTTTTGTTTGTTTTAAAATGAGGCTACAGGTTCAAAGAAATCAAGAAGTCCAAATCCTTGTAACTGGAAATTAAGGGATTTATCTCAAATTCTTACCACTGAGCTCTCAATGAGCAAAATGTGCCTCAGCAAACAGCCAGAGCTTACAACTTACGTACCAGTTAAAACTTGTAGCTGGAGAAGCCCTATGAACTGAGAAGATGCACATTAGTGGTAGCAACTAGCACAGAGGTAAAATCCAATGAACTGTCCTCCTTTGCAGACAGCTAAACAAACAAACAAAAAAACCCCAAACAAACAATGGGTTTCAGTTTATAACTGCAGTGGGGTAACAGAGAACAGTTACACTGAAACAAACTGTTTTCCCCTCATAACAGCTTCCCAATCACCACTAATTATAATCCCTGCAATTTCATGCAAGATCCACATCTAACCAACGAGTATGTTTTTACCAGACTTTGATACTGGATCCCAGCACTAAATAGCAAGACAAAAGAACTTTTCCAGTCTCAAGGCAAAAGGTGGGTACTTAAATGACCAAATGCACCCAGCCGACCGGGGACCTGAAATGTGAGCTACAAAAAGACTACAACTGACATTAGAGGGTACCACTCCTGTACCTTGTGGAAGCCTAAATGTGCAAAATTTTAATTTGGACCATAACCCAACCCCTCCATTTATCCTCAGGGCTGAGGGTTTTTAATATTGCCTGAATAGTGGCTCTATGGTCAAAACAACAGCATAAATACTGGAAGGCCTGCTTTTACTTGGAAATTGGTGGATCTGTAGAGTTTTTCCTGCTCATGCCAATTCCCTGAGCCATCAAACATCGCCCACACACCTGCACACACACTGCAGAAGCATAAAAATACCACATAACTCAGCTCCACAGCATACCTGGAGCTCCAGCATCTCTATGCCAGACCTTCCCTACTTCCCGTTGCCCTAGGCAGTGCAACTGCAGCAGGTCTGCTGCATTTTGGCCCTTCCACAGGTACCACAAAGCTTTCTGGAAGGTCTCCAGAGAAAGTTGCCAGCTACATGGGTTCCATAACAAACTCTCACGTTCCTTAATCCCAACTCCCAACTGCTTTCTCTAATAGATGGTGTGCCAGACTGTAATCAGGTATTCTAGAAGAAGTGTTATTGCTTTATCTATATGGGACATAAGCTTTCAAGATTTAACACAGAAACATGGAAGAAACATCAGCTAGCATTAAATGTACTCAGACAAAAAAAAAAATCAGGCTTTTTCATAACTGGGAGAGAATATATAAAAATAAAATGCATAACAGCAGTATTTTACTGCTTAAGACTTGCAAGTTATTTAAAACACCAAATGCTTCCAAATTCAGGATAAATGAATTCTTCAGCTCACAGTTACCTGAAGAATCTAAAGCAGTACTTCTCAAAGTGGATTGGCTGACAATCTGTGGGTGGTTTATTAAACAATACCTGCACCTTATTTCATATTTAGCAAAAAAAAGAGCCCCCTCCAAACACTTAAAGCCCCCACTAGAGCCCCAGGTCTTTCTACCAAAAAAAAAAAACCCACCAAAAACCCTTCTAATACACTTTAAACAATAGATGGTAGTGGTAGTTTTCGATCCCAACCTAAAAGGAAAACAAAAGTCTTAACATTATACGTTGGCACAAAATTGTCATAATATTGCTCTTATTTACAATGATATTTTTTTTTTTTTTCCTTAAACTGGATTTGCATCATGGAAGTGTTACAAACATCCTCTTTCCCACACCCACCCACCATTTTTCCTAATCAAATGGTATGAAAATAATTATTCATAAAATCCAACAGTCATAACACCAAGCACGTTTAGGTCATTATGTCAGAAAGATACATTCATGTTTTGTACAGCATGAAACATACAAAAAAACTTCTTTAAAAAACTCTTAAGGATGATACAGATCTTCATAACCCAGTGTAAAATATTTAGCAGTTTTGCTTTTTTTTTGGCCATATAAAAATATTTTAAAGGCCATTTATACCACAACAGGCAGAAACATCTGAACAAAAGTTTTATGGTGCAGAAAGGCTTCGGTGCTATTCTCTTTCCCGGTCAGTTTTTGGTTACCACAATCCTGACTTTGGAGAACCCAAAAAGCTTCTGAGTCGCTGATGGCCAGTTATCTAAGAATAGCTACTTTGTTCCATTTTTTCCCCAGTGGAACTACTTAATACACTACAAATCCACCTAAGCCAATGCAGAAGAAGATTTTGAAGAGAGCTATTATTCTTGCCTGTGTTTGTAATCAAAACAGGAATGACAGACAACCAATAAATATTCCACACTTAATTGTGGTATAAATGGGTCTTTTGAACTCAAACTGCTTTGGCAACTTTACATAGGAATATTTAAATATGTGACATACCAACAGTATATAACGTTGCTATAAACTCCCATGTCTGATTTCCCTCAGAATACACGGGCAAATGCTATTTTAATTTAGAACTTGACTATGAAGAAAATTTATTTCAATATAATGGATGAATTACTTTAATTTTTAGACATTAAGTGCTGAGTCTAAAATAACTTTCCAACTAGCCAGCATCTCAGCTAATAATTGTCACATGGAAGTTAAAGAAGAATTCTAAAGAGGAGTTTTCTTTTGTTGCAAATGGCTTAAAATAAAACTGAGATTAAAGCTACCTTATTACTCTTTTTCAGTTTATCAGATCCAGAGATTCTTGTAAGATTAATTTTTCACTGAGGGAAAATATTGATTTAAACATCAAATCTAGAAATATAAGTAACAGGGCCACAGGCCATCTAATATCATTTTGTTTTCTAAAAATATTTAAAACTCTATCTTCCATTTGGCATTGTGGTTCATGTTTATTACTAAGTCCTAAGCCAGGATTTAACTTTGCCTGAATCCCCTTTCATTAATAGTTCATAGCTGATCTGTTTCAAATGTCCACAGAACACAGTATATTATATAATTCTTCAATAGTTAAAAATTATTTAGTGTAGAACTTTCCATTTTAATTCTATGCTCTATATAGTTTACAACAAAATTTACTGGATAAACATTTTCAGGAAACCAATACAATAAATTAGAACTTTTAAATAGAGGGCATACAGTTATGTTGTCACAGGGCAGTCAAAGAAGTGACTGATTTTTTTCTTACAGTATATTACACTGGATACTTTGCTTCTGACTTGGTTTCTCCTATACTGGAAAAATACTAAAAGTGGGACATTTATGTATCTTTAGAATGAGCTCAGATACTGTATCAGACAGACATTTCTTACAAATCTGCTACCTACTTAAATAAGAAGCAACCCATATTCAACTGGAACAATTTTGTATAAGCATAACAGAAGGCGACTGGGGTCATTATGGAATTCAAATAAAGTTCTGGGACAACTTCATAGTGTTCTCCTCCCTTCCCCCCAACCAAACAATTAAAAAATAAAATAAAATAAAACGAACATGGCTTGAAATCAACCATGAGGACTTAACAAGTAATTGGTTAGCAGATAATGGAATTAAATCACATGTGATTGTAAGTTCAACTTAATTATCAGTGCTATTAAAAAGTTATGTTCTAATCGAGTAAGACAGCTATTCTCAATAAAAGGATAGAAGAAAGTATCAGCTTCTAATGAACCTACCAGCATTTCATAGTAAGCTGCTAGTAAGTTACTAGTTGGAAGGAATGTGTCAGATTTTTCACGTAATTACAGCACAGCAGCATACAATGCTCATTCATTAAGTTGGCAAAGGAGCTTTTGCTACCCAGAGTAGCACACAGGTACTTGTATAAAGAAAGAGGGAATGGTATTTCCATGACCCCTTGTGGTAACACATTCCAAGCACCAAGGGCCTTTTTTAAAATGTGAACCCATTAAGATAAATATGACAGGACAATACCACCCCCACAGAATCGTGAGTGCCTTTCACTGGATGTACGCTGTAAGTCTCAAGGCACTTAAGGGGTTAAGACACAATGCATGCACTAGTTCCCATCATGTAATCTTAAGTCACACGAATCAGAATACACCAGTGTATGACACACAAGCTGTGTCAAAGAAATGCTGTTTATTTTTTTTATATTTTTATTGTTATAATTTTGTACAAGATGCTGGTAAGTGGGCATTATGCAGCTACTGCTGGGTTAATACAGATGCCAGCTCTCCTCTAACAACCAGCTGGTCTCTAGTAGGGGTGTAGGACAAAGTGTGCTGCACCAGTAGGCAGTGTGTATCTATCTAGTAACGGCAATATTGCTAATGTTGTAAAAAACAAAACAGTGAGAGTCTGTACATAGTAAATAAACCTAGCACTGGAAAAAGACCATGGCTTAGTGTGTTTTTTTCATTTCTTTTTCATTTTAAGAGACATGGGTGTAAAACAGAGTGAAATAATTCCAAGCCTTGTTTGTAGCAATTCAACCAGAAGCGCAGTATATGGCACTACAACGAAATATCATAGATTACCCTGAACACAATTAGTTCTTTCAGTTTATGGTTTGTTCGGAGCAAAGCACGAAAATAAAGTCTTCAAACAGATGAAGGTTAGAAGAGTTTCAGAGACTGATTTTGTTTCAACATAAAGTGCAACAGTGCTGAAGTTTTCAAAGTCCTTTGTCAATTCTTTGCTGTACTTCACTATCATTTCCTGCAAGCAGTATTATGGCACAAAAAATGCTGCCAATTCATTATAGAGGACAGGATTCCTCAATTGATATCCTGGGGTTTTTTTGCTCTTTACTTATGCAGTGATGTTTGTAAAGGTTTAATAAATCCTTCTTCATACACCTTCAAAATAGCTTCACATACAAATCTGTATTGACTCTGAAAAGGAAAGTAGATTCAGTGAATTGAAAAGAAATGTACTTGAACCGTGTCATTTGGAAGCAGAAAAGGCCTCTAGGATTTCCCAAATCCCGTTCTCTTGGTGGTCCAAGATCTGAGCTTCAAAGTGAGTTTAGGAAACACAAACCAGGGACTTTATATTAGAACATCTTGTTTCTCAACAGAAGAATGGGATGAACAGCACTTTGAAATACATACCAAAATTCATACCCACAAAACCAGTACTATTATTACATCATCTATTCAGTAGCTTTCTGCTCTTCACTTCATTGCTGAAGTTTCAATGACCTGAGGTTTTCATGCACTTAAATTTAAAAGCTGTAGTTTCAAAGCACTTTTTCATACTTAGATTAGAGCTTGCATGTTACTGGCACCTCCCTCTCAGAATGTGATAAAAAAGAAAATTGTTTCATGTTTTAAAAAAACCCCAGAACTCCAGTTTCTTTACATTAGATAATGTCTAACTTTGCAATGTATTCAAGTCTTGCACCTGCATACACAGAGACCATTAATATATATATATATGTATTTTATCAAACAATTGTTAAATATTCCCAACCGTAATCAAATTAGAATATAATGAAAATAAAATGAAATAAAGCCTGTTTACATTGTTTTGTAAAGCACCACAACTAACACTGAACACTGCATAATGGTGTGTATGTTGGTCAGAAAGCCAGCATGCCTGCCTTTTCAGTGTTGTGGAATATCCCTCCTTGAGCAGTTACCAGTGATGTCAGATCTTTAATGGGCACAGTGACAAATTTAGTAATAGAATAATTATTTACTGTTGCATGTATGTTAAAATAGTTAAATTTATACATATTTGTGTGAAATACTTATTTTGCCTCCAAAGGTTCCTGAAGGAGACTCTGAGCTCTCCTCTCACACTACACACAGCAGACACCCATGCACAGGGCCATCTTGTGGACACTGAATGAATCTTTCAGGATATACAAATCCGGAAGAGAGTACCAAAGGAGAAATTATAAGAGAGAATGTTTATGAAATCTTAAAACCCCAACCACTTCAAGTCTTTTATTATCCCCTCTCTCTGATGCAGTAAACACCTGCATCTCACTGAAGCTTGAAAATTCTGGTTTCTTTAAGAAAAATGAGAAGACCAGAAGATAGTTAGCACATGCTGTGAAAAATCACAGATAAAACCCTTACCACTGCACCTCCTGCCTTTACTAATAAAACTCTCTTCCTCTCTACGTATGCTGGAGAGATATGCTATTCATACTGTATAGTCACCTCAAACAGCAAGAGCCACCCTTTATTATTTTTTATGTATTACCACCTTTCTCATCCTTCCTGTGCTAGCTGAATAATACAACTTTTTTCCTAGTGCAACATGAATACTGGACAACAGCAATGAATGATGGATGACCTAGAAACCTAGAAATGAAGACCCATATATACTTTTTGTCATTTTGAATACTCTCTGAAGAACACAAAAGGTTTATTCAAATTTGATTAGAGGAACAGCAGCAGGGATATTAAAGCTATTACCCATTATCTTCAGGTAACTGTATCTTCAATTACCTTCAGGTAATCATGAGAGAGAGTTGCTACTGGATCTAGTGACTTTTCTCCTTCTTAACACTTTCTTTTTAAATGCTATATACTACGAGTAAAACTCTACACCTGAATAGTGATTAAAAAAGATTAAAACCCCAGAAATTATTAGCTGGAATAGGATTAAGAAATGGTTCCTGGATAGCCTGGAAAAACCATGAGTCCAAGCCTTTTGTTTTTAGAGCACAACTCAATCTTTTAACCCTTTTTAGGTATTTTCTAAAAGTGTTAACACAAACTACTCCTAGATACACATGACTGATAAAAAGTTTCTAAATCTGTTCTAAAACATTTGCAATTTTGAAATATAATACATTAAAGCAACATCACAATTAATTATCTCAAAAAATCCCAAATGTTGTAGATCCAGGAAAAATTCTAGCATCTTAAGATGCGCCAAATGTGAAGAGAGCACCAAGAGAATACTGGTAGCAAGTTACATTTTCAGACTAAATATGCTTAAAATTACTGATATATCTCAATCAGATTGAATTACATGTTTTTTAAAACATTTTTCAGAGTCACTACAGGGCAGAGTTAAGTCTTGTTTTCATTATAGCTAAGGCAATATAAAATTGCTGAATTGCACCACTGAAGGTTTTTCTTGCATGTCTTAGATCTTCTCATGTTTAGATTTTATACTACTCCCATTCTTAACACCTAGAATTAGGCTCCTGCTGTCTCTACAGAGTAATTTTTACAGTACTGAAAACTGGCCTTTTTTGACATTAATTGCCAGGTATCCCTGAAACAACTGCTGCTTTTTTCAAGTTTTCATTGTAGAAAATCTAAAGAATTGCTACTTTCCAATAGCCTTAGCAATTTACTCCTGCCTGGAGCCAAGGCTACATCTGCAATGGGTAAAGGTGATCTCTTTGCAGAATGATCAACAGCAAGTGTATTAAAAATCCATCTAACAATATGACTAGATAATAGGAAATTATTCTTCTGCAACACAGAACAGCAAGTATGATACTCACAGGTGTTTGGATCATCATGGCTCTTTGATCTCTCATGGTTCTTACTATATCTAATGGATAAACAGGCTGATTACACTCAATAAGACACATGGCTGTCTCCATAGTGATAAGAACTCCAGTCCGTCCAATCCCAGCACTGAGAAAAAACCAACAAAATAGCAAAACAGAAAATGAAACATGTCTGCAGTGTAGTTTGTACTTGAAGACACTCCTTCTCAATGATTCTCATGATTGATCATTATGACTCCCATACTATTAGGGCACAGGTTAGAAAGATTGTGTCTGTGTCACTGGAAGCCTCCATCCTGCCTTAACAGAGCAAAACCTGTCAGTACAGAATTGTCAGTCCCTTGAAGAGGGATGGTTTTAACTCAGCCATTCACTTAAGCAGAATTTCCAAATAGATATTTATTCAGATCGTATTATAAACCACACTATTATCTAGATGATAACAAAACACAGGAATAACTAACATACACTGTACACTTTCTGTCATTTGACAATTACTGGAATGACTATTACTGGAATGTTGGGCTGATCTGATAAAACCATGTTTATGTTCGTGAAATAAACCCTACCTTCTTATTTCAGAAAAAGGTGTATTACAATTACTAGAAACTTTTGGAGAATGATAATAATGATGACACATGTCCATTTGAGGACATTTGGTATTATGCATTATTACAGTTTACTAATTAGGCATTTTAAAGGATTAACATTTTGAAATTTACTATACGAATGTAAAATGCTATTAAAAACTACTGCACAAGAAAAACAACCCCCCACATTTTGTGTATATAAAAATCTGAGAAACAGCAATTCTAATACATGACAAAAGTAAATTGTTAAGAGAAATGTGTCATCTTAATATATGTACCAAAATACCATGCAGCCTAAGACTACAGACTTGAAAGACTTTTATTTGATCATTGCATATATCACCCATGTTTTCTGCTAGGGATTATTTATACACCTATTCTGGAGTTCTGTAGAACAGTCATCATGAGGAAAAGGTTCCTAAGTGTCTCTTGCCATTTTCCTGAATCATTATATAGACTGTTAGCACAAGCATTTAAACTGTAAACAAACCACAAAAAAAACCCCAAAACCAATAAAATCCCTGCACAGATCAATGCTATAGATACTAAAAATTTTGCTCATTGACACGATTACAATTTTAGGTAGCTGTTTCATTTAAATGTTGCATTCTCTTGTCATCCATCCCCAAAGCAGATACAATTAAATGTTTATTTACAACAAATCACAGAAAATCTATTTGACGATAAATAAAAGCAGTTTGATTATTTAATAAAGTTGGGGGGGGGGGAGGGAAGAGATACCTGCAATGAACAACAACAGGTTCTTCTCTGCCAGCCCTCTTCTTTCGCACAAGACACACAAAATCTAGGAAATCGCTAGAATCATCAGGAACCCCATGATCCGGCCATGCTATATACTGGATTTGGGTTAGTTGGCGGCTTTCCTCTTTCTAATCAGAAACACGAAGTTTACCAAGGGTAATTCAGGGGAAAAAAAAAAAAAAAGGGCAAAAAATAATAATTAAAAAAACCCACAATGGTACATTCACAGCGACTTGCACCTGTAATAGAAGTGGCTTCAGACAACTAGCAACACTTTATTACTGCTAACCATTGCTCATCCTGGATTTTTTAATTACTTTTTTTCCCACTCTTAAAAACAAAAAAGGCAATCCACAAATGCTTACATCTTCAGTGGGCTAGAAGCATAGCAAAGCATAGCAAAGCAGTTCAAGAATATCAATGATCTACCTGAACACTAGATGTACAAGAAGGTGGTTAAATTTTTAGCAAAATAAATTTAACAGAGTTACAATCTTTCTAGATCAAATCACAGAACTGGGGGTAGGGAGAGACCAGACTTTCAGGCATAAAAGCTTGCCTTCAAACCCTGAATAGCAGCATTGGTTTGGCTTTATCTGCACCTCTTAATTTTATCCAGTATATATGTAAGATGCAGAATGACTTTGTTTTCCACTCTCTCCTGCTCCTTGCTTTAATATCACAAATATAATCTGCCTCTGTTTGGTGGAGGGGACAGGCCATACAATCAGTGTAAAATCAGGATTTCAAAGAACAGGAGCTGCCACACTTTAAATACGCAGAATCATTTACAGAGGTTCCACTGCTGATAACAAACGAGTGATTTTCTCAACAGGACACAGGGAAGGATTTTTAACTTCAAACTAACTAAAAGGCAGCTCTGTAAAGCTGGCACCTCATCTGGTAACCCAAATAATGAGAAATGAGTATATAAACTAACCACCAGATACTCATTTCAAAACATCTCCAAGATTGAAATGCTAGCTGGGGAGACTCTGAAAACTATACATGCCCCAAGAATCATGCAATGCATGTTCAAGAAGGTCTTTGTTTACATATAGTCATCAATCCCAACTGATTCTCTCAGCAGGATTTATCTTCCATCTACTTGCACTTACTCTTCACGATGGAATTATTAAGAACTGTTTGCCTCTACAGAGACAGAATTTCAGTTGTAATAATGAAATAACTCCAGAGGCTAATGTTTTGGAAACATCAAGGGAACAACAAGTTCCTCAACTTCTTTAATCATTCTTTTTGTTTGGCCAGGGCATGAAAGACACCAGTAAAGACTTCCAAGACGAATAATACATCTTTTATGTGACTTAAACCTGATTTATATGATTATGGAAATTGAATCTCTGTGACATTTTGCTAGTGAAAGATTTGTTATCATTCTAAGAGCAGAATTTATACTAGGTAAGTACATGGCAATACAAGTAGTTTTTTACAGGCTTCTAGAAATAAACAGTTCTATGTGGATATACCATGAAGCTGAAATGGAAGACTGATAAAGTAAGTTTTAGTTAGTCTGTGACGATTCCACAAGTTAATACTTTAAATATATTATGATTTTACCTCCAGATTAGTCAGTGTCATTTCTCGGAAAACATAAGCAGGATTTCCTTCTTCCGAGTGGCAAGTAATCTGGAAATTCCCATATGATGAGCTTCCTGATGGCTCTGGCCAGTACTGATGGCATTTAACCTAAAGTAAACACATTTTTAAAGATGCCTGAGTATTATTTTCATTCTCTCTAGTTCTTTATACCTTTGTTCGTTAAAGACTTTTGATAATTTTGTAATTACTATTACTTTACTTACCAAATAGGCTGTGTTACCTACTTATCTTTAATAAAATAAGGTATCACGGAGATTTCCTGGTTCTGTTTTCAAGAGGACACATGCACCAGGCTCTTGAGGTTAGTTTAACTGAAGATGGATGCCTTTAACTTTCATTACAATTTTAAAACAAAGTATATCTATAAATATTCCATCTTACACTTGAGTGACAAAGGTGCTGCTTTATAAACATTTCTGACCTCCAAAATCCTAATCTAATCTTCTCAAAGCACATTCATATGGGAAAAGAACTAACGAAATTTAAAAAAAAAATCCAGAACCAAAAGGCAATAAACCCCAAAAAATGGTTGCTAAACTAATGAAGAACTTACGGGGATGCAGATGGTAGACTTCAAAGACTCCCAATCAAGTCGTTAAATGTGAATGAAAACTTCAACTACTAAGATTTTCAGATATATTGCTTAAGCACCTAATTGCAGAGGTCATTTCAGCTCAAGTGTGCTTTTGTTTTTCCAACCCACCTGGCGATTCTTTAAGAGCAGCCAGATTTGCAGACTTCCTGCTCCACTGAGACATCCCGGCATGCAGTGGGCTAGTGATGTCAGTAGCCTCATGATCAGCTTTAGAGCAGGGAGTCTGCCTATGGGTATAAGACAGATAAGTCCTTTTATTTCATTATTAAGCAGCTCTCCAAAGAACTCCACAAATATCATTACTGAAGGGGTTGGGGAACCTCAGAGAACTGCTATTGCAAGTCTGTTTTTAGCAGATCTGCAAAGAAAATTCAAATTAAAAGGGCACTTGTACTGAAATTCCCTCTAACCATGTTTATTTCAGAGCAGGCAGCAGCATGCAAACACTGAGTCACTGAAAAATGGTTTAAAAATGCTGCAACTCCCCTTCAATTATTTTAATTATATTTAGAGGCCTGACCTCCCAGCAAATATATGGTTATTAAAAAGTTAAAATATATACAGAGAACTGAACTATAGTCTGAGTTGATCAGAACACCCACAATCTACCATAAATCTATCTTCAAAAGAAATCCTGAATGTGGAGAAATTCCACTAAATCTTTATTCCAGAGTGTCATTTCTGTCCACACACTGAACCAGACAGTGCTATTCTGAATGCTCCAGATGATAAACTCAGTATCTCTGGAATTACACTGTGCATATGACCAGATTTGATTGTTTTGCCTGCCTCCAAAGGACAGGGCTGCATAATAAACAAAGCTATTAAGGAGAAACTATAGCTTAAAAAATAAAACCAGAAACAAACCAACCACAAAATACACCTGAGGCCTTTTACAGCACCATACACACAATTGTTTTTAGTAATTTTTAACTCTAATTACGTTATTACTAGTACTCTATTTTTACACATATTTGTATGGAAATTATTTAAAGGAAAATGATTCTTTCATATGATTAAACAACTATTTATAGCCACAGAAGAACATTTTATGAAAAATCTTAGATTTCAAGCTTTTCAAGGACTCTTTTTAAAAAAGACAGCTATCCAGGCAGGCATAGGATCTTAACAATACAAACCTGTGGTAGGCTGCTTTAAAAAATTAAACTTCCTATATATCAAAGAACTAATCTAAAAAACTGATGAAACTTCTTGGAGTTCCTTCATTTGAAGTTGAGAGAAAAAAAAAATCCTATGAAGGTAAATTCTAGTTGCTTTTTACTTTAAAATAAAGAAGCCTAAAAATATTTTAAAAAATATGTGAAGACTTCAATGTATTTCAGAATTAAGCAAAGTTTAAATATTAGCAATATCAGAAGATTTAAAATAGAAGAGTCGTCACTGCAACAGTACTAGGAAGGCACTGCCTTCTATGAAGAACCACAGAATGGTTTGAGTTGGGAGAGACTTTCAAAGGTCATCTAGTCCAAACCCCCTGCAATGAACAGGGTCATCTTCACCTAGATCAACTTTCTAAGAGCCTCAACACACCTGACCTTGAATGTTTCCAGGGATGGAGCATCTACTACCTCTCTGGGCAACCTGTTCCAGTGCTCCATCACCCTCATTGTAAAAAATGTCTTCCTTTTATCTAGACTAGACTTCTTTTAGTTTAAAAACATTACCCCTTGTCATATTACATGTCATACTAGTATGTTCATCTAATTTTTAAAGGCTAATTACCAAGAGATTTTTTCTTTAGAAGACTACACAAGTAAAGAAATCTTTTACTTACTCTGCCACGTTCAACTTGAGTTGTTAACATTACAACCATAGATGAGCCTTGTTCCCACGTCATCTGCCAAAAATCAGGACAAGTGTTCGGTAATGGACCTTGACAAGCAATGTACTGGTTTATTATTGTGGAAGAAGGGATTTCCATCTAAGAGAAGACAAAGTAATTATTTTAATGCCTATAGCAAATTGAAGTCAGGCATCAGATATTTACTGTTGAGTAACTAACACATTAAAAAAGCATCAACTATATTAACTGTTTATTACGAGTTATTAAATATAGATCAGCACTAATAAAAATTCTTCAAAATGCTTCACGCACAAAAGATCCAAGTACACGTCACACACTATCTGACAGATATGTTGGTGCCATAATCAATATTAATTTTTGAAAAAAGAAATGATAGACCAATTGACAAATAATTCAGGTGCAAACATTTCATGCTCTGTGGGTTTCTGACACTAGCTTTTAAAATGCTGATCTTGGAATTTAATTTAATCACCGTTTTGTTTTCCAGAAAGGAAAAGTAAGTAGCTGTAGTATCGTTGTTACTGACAATGCGGGGTGGGGGGGGTAGTGGTGATGGTGGTGGAGATGTAAAAGGAAGTGGTGCCAGATTAAAGGCTACTGATGTTGAACACTACTGCCACATTAGTACTCAGAAAGAATTAATTCCTCTGGTAGAGGGAGCTAGCTTCTCTTACTGTTTTTTTCTTTCTCTGGGATTCATTTATAGAAACACCTGCCACAAAGCACTAGCAAATAAGTATAACAACAGTAAATTTTAAGCCACCTGACTACAGGTTTATCAGCCATTCAAGTCAGAACTAGATTTATGAAAGCACTATTTTTTTAAAATCAATTTCATGGAAACACTGTGAAATTACTTAATGTCAGCAGCTTTTTGAAAAATGCTACTCACATTTATATAATTTGCATTGATGTAATCTTCGTTACTTTTTAAAATAACCCGTGTAGCATCATCTGAAAAAATAAAAATTAGAAATGTTACTTATTTACTAACCACAGTAAAATACTTTTAGAACACATATACAAACACACATACTTACAAGGCGAAATGTCTCTGTATCTATTTTTGGAAATGTTTTGAGGTAATCTTGCACAAGACATTGTCATTCCAGGCTTTTTCCTATACAATTGCTAAAGACAAAACCAATGGTCAGACCATAATAGATGCAAAAGACCTGTTACTTCATTATTTGCGTAGCGGTACTTTCTAGAACATAAACTACTAAGCATCAGTAGCTTCAACACACGTAATAAAGCTTTTCAAAAGAAAGCACTATGAATTCAGTTATGCTGTGGGATCACTGAAAGTGATCAAGACATCACAATTTGCTTAAAGACAATGTTGCAGTAACTTAGATGTGGAATGAAGGTCTGAATACAGAACAGATTTCAGTATACATTTTTCAGTTTTCATCTCTATGAAAGCATTTTATTAGCATAGGTCCCTGATAACCACAAAAATCTGTAAGTAATCAATAAAGCTATGTATAACAACACTAAAAACTGGAATTAGGATTATTCTATGCCATAAATCTGTACATACAACACAGGATTGGAATTTTTTTGTTGTTATTTTTCTTTTGACAGTGTAAGACAGTTGTTCTGCTACAAGATGCTGACTCTACTAAAATTTAATTGAAATCCTCTCTCCTTAAAATAATTTCCTGGAACTGTAGCACACAGCTACAAGACAGTACTCACATCAAACTGAGCCAAAACAGTTCCAGTGATAAGCCCCTCTGCTAGCTGAATCATGGATTCTCTCAGAGCATTATCATCTTGATGGACACCATCAAGAGGAGATTTCTCAGGGATGTACTGGAAGTCAGGCTCGCTCTCCAGCTTCTCTTCCACAACATCATAGACCGCTGTAACAAATAAAGGTATGAACACTCTGACTGAACATGCCATTTGGAAAGTAAAGTTAACTCTGCGTCATTTGTTTAAAACAGCAAAATAAACAAGTGTTTCTCCTTTAGAAAAATACACATTTACTAGCACACTGATTTTAGTCCCCAACAGCAAGAGCAAGTAGCCTTTACTGATTACTATAATCCATGACAAAATTAATTTTTTTGTTTAATAGTAATTTTAAGTAAAAGCACATCACTGACTGTTAAAATTTTGATCAAAATTCATGTTATGCCCTACCTTCTCTGATATAACTCCCTAATCTCAGATTCTCACATCACACCTCTGAAGTAATTATAATTGCATTTACATTTTTAGTTTTAAGTCACTTTGAACTGATTTTAGGCTTCAGTAATCAGGGCAAGAGGTGCAGACCACCTGAGAAAACAGCTTTAATATATACCATTATACTGCTATCAAAGCTGTTTGTGTGCCCTGCCTATAAACAAACTGAAAAATATGCATCTTCTACTACACATAGGAGACAGCTGTTCGAAAGCCTGTGTTTAAATGATGTCCCATGACCATGAAGAAAAAATCTGGCAACTTCTCACTTCTACAACTCAACTAGATAATCAACACACAAGGAGAACTGTTCTAATAAATTTGTAAACAAAGCTAGCAACTTTATCTGGAAAAGAAAGTAAGCACACAAAAGCTGCAAGAGAACTTACATGCAGAGTAAGAGCACAGGTAAGCAGGGAGTGCAAGTAAGTGAATAAAGGAAAAAGTTGTTTATGAGGTGGCTGAGGTACTCTCCTAAAGTAATTTCAATTATTCCCATTAAATTATTTTTTTTTTTTTTTTACGTTTTATCTTTTCCTCTGCAATTGTATTACAATTGGGATGTGAAGCTGAATTAAATCCCGTGACCATCTGCTGGCAATGCTCCAGCAGGGTATTTCATGAATATAATGCACAAGCTGTTACTTAGACTCCATTTCTAGCACTTCCTTCTATTAAGCCTCCTCAAGTAGAAATGTTACCAGCTGTTCTGGATTGTTTTAAAAGTATATGGAAGGATTTTGCATATAATAGACCTCCAAAGTCATCCAAACATGGGGTGTTTAGTGAGGAGTTTTTTGTTGATTTGCTTGTGTTTTGTTTTTATTTTCCTTAAGGGAATAACAGCAACCTCAGAAACTGCACTCATTATCCGTACAGCTTTCTGGATACTTTTATCAATGAGACTGAGAACTAGATTTAAATAAACTCTCAGTTTGAAATATTTGATCTCTGACTTTCCCCTTAATTTTAAACACTTATTATGCACAGCTTCTTAGAGTACAGGATTGATCAAAATTTGTACAGTATATTGTGCCGCTGCAACTCCTTTTCAAGGAAGGGAGTTCTTTCTCACAACAATGTTAAGCATTCCATCTCAGGACACAAAATGGAGGTTAGAAAATGAAAGCAAGGTGTGGATTTATTAGTTTTTCTTCTTCTTATGTACAAAGCACTTACCATTGGGTCGAACTAGGAGCACAAGTTCCCCTGAGTGTCTCTCACAGCTAGCTTTAATAAACATAACAACTTGATCATGGGTATGTTCTGCTATATCCCTGCCGTTAATCAGTACAACCTGGTCCCCTTCATTCAGACGGGGGACACAGAGATCAGCCTGCAAGGTGGGGGGGAAAAAAAATCTAATAAAAAAAATATATAAAACAAGTCATTTCCAATTTCTCACTTTAAAATAGCAACTTAAAGTAACTATATGTAGGGACTGGAATCCTGATAGCTTAGTTGCTATGGTTGCTGCATTATATTCAAATGCTAAATTTAAGTGTTACACAGTACATAAGACAGTGTCATTCACATGAACAAATCTATTTGCAACAGGGAGGTGATTGTCATTGTAACATGTCTTTCAGCAGCTGTTACTCCACTCCTCTGGTTGAAGTAGAAAGCTCCATCTGTTTGAATCACATTTTTGTACAGGTAATTAAAAAGCAGGATGTTCTTATCTTTGAAGAGAAGGGAGTAACATGGCAAAGCCTTGTCCAAATCGATTTCACAGGCTTAAATGCTTCAGGTTTGAAATGCTGCTACTGTAATGACAAGACTAAGACAAGGACCAAAGACAATGCACAAATCCCAGTAATCCCAGAGAAAGCAATCAGGTAATAAAGATAATTATTATAATCACAGCCTAAACATCACTGCAGAAAAGAAAGAGGACATGCCATCACCAAATACCTTTTCCTTAGAGAGTGGATGTTATTAAATATTTCAGAAATAATAAACAATAATAAACAAAAATAAGAACAATGCTCCTGGCAAACATGTGAAAGCTGTACTTCTCAAATATTAGCAAATAAATGGTTCACTCTAAAAGGTATGAACAGAGCTGACTCCTCTCAGCTTAACACCAGGTCAGTATTTCTGGCAGTCAACTGACAAAATATTGTGCCTAGTTTGAAGACACTATTGATAGTCACAAAGCACCAGTAACAACAGACAATCAGACCTGATGAATGATTCATGATGTCTGATTTTAATATAAATCTTGGCTTTATTCAGCTGCATCTGTCACTAGAATGAGAGATTTTCTATTTAAGTTATTTTAAACATACTAAAAGGCTCTTTCTATATATAATTTATGTGAACTTATATGAATGCCTATATTTAAAAAAGGTAATCAAGTATATGTATTTTTAGGATGACACAGCTCAAGAAACAATACACACTGAACATCTGGAACTCCTTGTAATTTTCAGGAATTAAGCTTTGTTTCAGTAAGAAAAAAAAAATATTTCAGAGGATTGAAGAACTTTTAAAAATGTTATGTAGCCCCATCAGATTCTACCAAACATAATTTGCTTTGTTATGATAATGTTGGAGCCCAAACTGATTTTCACAGGCAGTTATGAAATAATTCACAGTTTTGAATACACACTTTAAGATACACAGGTATTGCTACCAAGTTTGATTTTTTGATAACTTACAGGTGTTCCTGGAGCTACCCTGGACACTATTACTGGCATCTTCTGATCATATCCACCCTTTAAAAACAAATTAAGTTAGTAACAAATCACAAATGTCAGAAAATAATCTTAATAGACATGAAGCGAATAGATGTACTGTTACCTTTACATTGAAGCCAAACCTTCCATTTTCATCTGGCTTCATTCTGATCATAACAAGATTGTCGTGGGGGACACCACCATTGGGCTATGTAAACAAAAATTATATTATATTAACATATATATTATTCCTACCTAGACTTCAAGGATATTGTATGTAATAATTCTGCAGTTTCCTCATCAAGTAATTGTCCCTGGACCCTTGAGAAAACATCAAGTAATGGTGCCAATGTCTTATCTTGAGCTTTGCACAGAAGGGAAAAGTTACACATTTAAAAGTTTTGGAACAGGCTGCCCAGGGAGGTTGTGGAGTTTCCCTCTCTGGAGACATTCAGAACCTGCCTGGATGCATTCCTGTGTAATGTGCTCTGGATGACTCTGCATTGGCAGGGGGGTTGGACTAGATCATCTCCAAAGGTCCCTTCCAACCCTAACCATTCTGTGATTCTGTGACATAACTTAAAAGCATGTTCTCTCAAAGCAAGCTCAAAGTAACAGTATTACTTAAAGCAGGAAAACAGTTTACTAAATGGAAACTCCTTAAAATAATTTTAATTAAGACCTCAGTAAAAAGCCTGCAGTAAAAATGTAATATGATGAAAAGTAAGATAATTGAAGGTATACTCTTGTTTCTATTGATAATATAACGATAGTAAGCAGGGACAAGTGTGGCAAAATCTTGGTTCCATATCCCCTATTCCATTTCAATGTAGTGGAATATCAGGTGTGACACATGCTCTGCACCAAGCAAGCTCTGACAATTTCAGCTGTCTGCTTTTCAGTTTCATTCTGATACAATGTTCACACAACACCACTGTTAAAGGAACTACCAATAAACTGAGGAATATTAAATACATTTTAATCTGGAAAATTAACTTAGTGCCACTGAAATGCTTTTCATTTTATTCTTAACAATATTTATTTCATAGACTGAACATCAGCTAGTACTTCTAAAGTTTCTACGGTGAGGATGTGAAGTATTATTAAGGAAACTTGTTTCAAGCCAAAGCATAAGACTGATATTCCAAAAGGAAGAAACCAAACAAAGTTTATTAAACCAAACATTTCTACATGTAAGGAACTTCAGAAGCTGCAGGCTCAATAGATAAAAGAAGTCTGCTCAGCTTGGCTCTTAAACTGAATTTCAAGCGTTTCAAGCTCTTGGTTAAAGCAAAACGACCTCCTTGAACACATTCATAGTAATGAGAAGATGAAAAATTTGGGGAAGGAGAAGAAAGTCACAGTGTAAGTTACTGATAAAGAACGACACCTAGGAAGCCTGATCATATGCAAATCATTTTAGCCTATGCTCACTGGCATGGGAGACTAGACTCAGGTTCCTGGGCAGAATGAACAACAACCGAGAGCTCACCTGCAGCATTTGGCAATTTCTGTGCCATTGCATTCCCCAGACAAAAAGAGAATAATCATTTCCTACTTTAAGAGGCTATTTTGAGCTGCAGTTTATAATGAAAAACATTAAGTGAGCTCTATCATCATTAACCTGCTTGATTGAAGGGACCTCTGGCCGCACCTGTTTCCAAATCCTTCTGGATGTTCTCAGACTGGATCCTTAGGGATTGCAGATGGAGTAACAAGTTGTAATTCCTGTATCTGCCCCACTACCTTTTAAATAGACTCTCCATGTATACAACAGATGAAGGAAATTCAACAGCTAAATGAAGTCAAAGTGATGAGAGGGTTTCCTTAAAACATTTGAGACAGAGCAGCAGACGTGCTGCAGGAACCTGAAGTGTAACTCTGGTCAGAAAAGCAACTTTGAAAAAAACCCAAAAAAATCCCAAATAAATTCCAAAACTTACATTCACAATTTCACAAAATGCTGCATTACTTCTTCTCTAATACGCAAAATAAAAGCCATTAGCAGACCAAATTAGATCTTTGATTACAACAGTGTACTGCCTTAAGCGAGGCTGCATAAATGTGGCCCATTGGACCACAGCAAACAATCACACTGACAATGCACAGAGAAAAAAGCATCTCATTCTCATGCAGCTGTGTTGGTTTTGCAGAACTAAAAGGAGTTAAAAAAACCAACTGAAAGTTATTTTTGTCAATCTGGTAAAGACAACCAAATGCAAAGCAGAAAAACTTGATGAGTAAAGTCGTGTTAACTTTCAAAACAGAACAGTACTTCAGTATGACTCAGGTAAGCACTGACAGAAGGCAAAGCTGTTAAAAAATCTGCTTTATTATTTAAAGCAAATTTTTTTTCAACATTCCTGAAACGCTCATAGGTACGCAAGTTTCACGTCTGTGAATTTTATTAAAGCCCCCACTATGAAATTAAGTATGGGGTTTATAGGAGTTTTAGCTTGGTAACAAGGCCTGAGAGAACACCCTAGGCTTGAGTTCAGAATGTAAGTTAAAATGAACCAAAGGCATTTCTAAAATACCAATTTTGGGAGCTGACTCATAATTTTGAATGTCTGAGGTTGGCAAAGCTTTTTATACAGTATTTGCTACATCTGGATTTTAAGCAGTTTTCCTATCCTGCGAAACATCTCCTGTCCCTGGTTTTTATCACTGTACAACAAAGAATCACTTGAAAACTTCTGGAGGGACAGAAGAAAAATTCACAAAAATGGTCAGTGAGATCTCACCTCAGTCAGGCAATAATCAAGTGACTGATATTGACTCATCTAGCATGTGCTTAAGTGTGGAAAAAAAACTTGTAATTTGATTTTTACATTTGTTGTCACAGGTAGTCTTGCTAGAGTCTCTTTCTTGGGAATTCTCATGAGAAATGCAACCAAAAGATTCAAGAAACCTCTCTGGATAAAACCGCTCTAGAGCTGAGAGGCACTTTCAGTTTCAGCTTTTTTGGTAAAAGCTAGATTAAACACCAGTGGTAGTGTCTACAATGTCTTCTTTAAAACTGACAGTAAATGACCTCTCAAAGAAGAGGTTGGTTAGAAATTTCTGCATGTGCTGAAAAGCTAGTATTTCAAATGTTTACATGTCCATCAAAATGTAAGTCATCTGATGACAACTGACAAAAGACTACTCCAGCAGGTGGAAAAAATAGTGGAAGCTAGCACAAAGACAGTATATATATAATGGAAATGCTGCAGTGTAATGCACAAACACAGGAACTCTCTGAAATGAAAGTGAACCAAGCTCATGAAAAGTAGGACTAACATTCCAATAAAAAAAAGAATAGTTAAACTGGATCCAAAAACTTACTGTGGATTTTTCTGGTGATGCAGGAACATCAAATATTTCATTAATATGGTTATCCAGTTCTTGCTGTGAGTGTGAATGATGAATTTGGTTCCAACTGTTCTTTTTAAATTGTTTGGGTGGTAGTGCAGGAGGCTGCCCATCTATAGGAGTCTCTTGAGATCTAAATACCAAAATAGAAGTATGAAGTGGAATGATCATAAGATATTGACAGTTCTTTCAGGGTTCCAAATAAACTGAAAATGCTAGAAGAAACTTAAGAGTTTGAGAACTGGATGTCTATCTGTATTTTTAGAATCACAAAAATGTACTGTGGTAGAATATACTGGAAATGTATGTCTGGACACGTTGCTGCTTTTTTCTTGACAAGTAACTGTACACAGAACCAGTAAGTTCCATCTTCTACACATGACCTTTTTTTTTAATGGTTTTAGTATTATCAACCCATTTTATACTGAAATACTGTAAAATTCACTGTATTTATACTCTGCACTTTTGCAAAACAAACAAAAAACCAAACAAACAAAAAACCCACCCTAAAATAGGTATGTCACTTAAGTTTTCCTCAGTAAGAATATCAGTTAGTTTGCGTCTTAAATTAATGCCTACAATTTAAGTCTTAAAACCAGACACAAGCAGCATAATACAGCGCTTCCACACTAGTTTTTGACTTTTGATCTAAAACCAGGAGGAGTGCAAGCTGAAGACAACTCAACTGTCTCCCTGCATTTATTTGAAATGTCCATTGGAGATAGTGCTAGATTTTAATTTTTCAATTAAAAGTATACGTGTACTACACATACACAGAAGAGGGCTTTGGTTTTTTTCCCCCTTGAACATTTTCCTCTTTGAAACATGTACAGCTTTGAAACATTCGTAAAAAAAGCATTCACTGCGCGCATTTTTTAGTTGAGTTACAACACCATTATTGAAGATTATATAGCAGAAAGTTCTATTTCTGCTTCAGAGCAGCAAGCACTCTACTGTAGATGAACAAAAATGTTCTCTGTGTTTATGTATAATACAGATAATTTCCTTTATTAGTCCTTTTGGAATAAAAGGTTAACTGTATAATTTGTATTACATAAATATATGATTCATTTTTCATTATATGGTTTTATATTTAAGAATTAAGAACACCACTGAGAGGCCCAAAAAGGCAGTTAGCACATAGTTCCCATGAACTTGTTTGAATGCCAGCTTCTAAATACCAGCATGCTTTCCTCCCCACTAACCACATTAAAAGGTATTATTAAGTAATTTAACGACTTACAACAACAGCCCACTGATACTAGTGGCAAATCCAAAAACCACCAAGATTGAAGTTGCAGGTTACAGCTAAATCTAAAGAGTAGGCTACCACCAAAAATGGGTGCCTCTGTTCATTCTTTCACCCGCACCCATGGCCCCTTCCTTGAAGCATTCTGGCACTCCTTTCTTGGCTAAAGCAGCTCACCAAGCAAGCAAAAATATATTGATTTTTTGGACAAGGTTGGGTAGCTCTCTGCTTGTTCAACAACGAGAATTGGCTTACCACAGGTCGACCACTGTGTGAGGAGGGAAGTACACTCCCAGACACCAGAAATAGAACACTGCCCCTTTCGTTATCAGCAAGCTGTAGTGGTAACTCATAGCACAGTATGTCTCTAAAAAGCATAGGGAACCACGTGAGTAGTCCCACTGTATTTAAATGGTCTAGCCACAGTAAACTGTTCGCAGGGTAAGACTCTCATTATGAGGCAGCATAACATTTCAAGTTGCTGCAAGTTACAAAACTGAAGGCACACATCAAATTCCATACCATGTAACTTGTTTCTGTACACCTAAAGAAAGCCTGATACCAGATTCATGTTTTCAATTAAAAACAAAAAACCAGATCACAACTGTCTACAGGTATTTCAAATAAAGGATGAACCTTTCAAAAAGCATGAAAATTGAATTGGAACTGGAACACTTCACTTTGAAAAAACGTGTTTTCCATTTCAGTTTTAAAAATCTAGCAAATTTTCTTAGAAAATACTGATAAATTTTTTGGTCACTGTATGAAACAGTACATTTGAAAAGATCCTAAAAATAATTTTTCTGGTATGTTTCTGCTTAATTTCTACTTTCAGAAAATATATTTTTGTCATGAAGAGTTAGAAGAAAAAACTGACTAATTATTCAATATCTTATGTCTGAAGAATCTCATGTTCAAAACACACTAGGGAGTAAAAATAATATTCCTTAACACTTTTCAACACAAGTGACAGTAAAAAATATCATATTTATATTTTATTTTTCAGGATAAGCAGCTTTTCTAAATTAATTTTTGTGGAGAAAGAGATAAAATATGATTGCCAACATTTGCAAAATGAACTTTCAAGACAGCTATAAATTATTTAGACATTGACTTACAAAGGTCACCCAGAGCTTTTTAACTACTTATGCATTTATTCATTCAAGTCTGGCCAGCACAGATTATTCAGCCTTTTAAGTGAAGAGCAACATAGCTATGTATTTTCCTGTGAACAATTACTCCTGAGAGTTTAAAACTGAATAAAAAAGGATCAGAAAACATGAGTGTAGAGACAAAAAGTCATTCTGATAAAAGATGGGATCTTATGCTCGACTAGATGTCTGTACATTCATGTCAACAAATACAAATAAATTCCTACTAAACATACAAACTTATAGAAAAGATTTGAAAAGTTACTTAAATGAGCATTTTAGAAGCAGCAATGCAAGTACTGTAATATATTAGCATAATGAATTGTGAGAACTAACAATCAAGCCTTGGGCAAAAACTTCATTGCTTTATATTTGCCCAGTCAGCTTTGAATTTCCTTATGAATGCCTAGACAATGGCAGTGAAAGCAGCCTATTTTGCACGCAAAGCAGCTCTCTGTTACTGCATTCAGCAATTTACATAATAATAAAATAACACACAAACCCTGGCACTGACAGGCTTGGGGTATTTTTGTTACAGATATCCGGTCTGACCTTCTAATATATTAAGCAAAAGTTTCATACACACCCCTATAAATTTATTAAACTAAACACCTATCACATACTTTTAGAATTTAAGGTTATAATTACCTCAGTAAACTACAAGCAGAAATCTCTCAATTTAGTTTTGAATAGCACATGCAGATGAAGAAAAAAATGTGGTATTAAAGGCTGCATTAACTAAGCTGTAATAGTCTTATAAATACTGCACTGAAACTCTTATTTTTTGTGCTATGTTGACCCCAAACTCAAAAAGATCACAAAACCTACTGCCTGTCAGGTTACGTTCTCTGACTTTCTTACATATGTAAATTTGATCAATAAATAAAAATTCCCAATAAATTAGCAGATGGACTACTCATTTTGTTTTTTATTTTTTTTCCACTCAGAAAGGTCAAACCATTTAAGAAATAGGTTTTTGGACTCTAAAATAATACAATTTTAAATTATATAGCTATGAACTTCATGACTACTATTTTCTTTCATAGATCCTGAATCTTAAATCAGTAATATCATCTGAAACTTTCAGAAGACCCTAATTGGTCATGTATTTTTGACAGTCAGCATCCTCATTCTAAAGAATTATCTTATGCTAGATAATTACACAGGTATAATTAAATTAAATTCCATTAGCTTCCAACAATGGAAAAACCCCAAAACAAAAGCCAACACTTAGTGACAGAAGAGCAATACTTTTTCTGCTTGGCTATAAAAAGTGCAAAATAATGAAAAAGAACAGCCATAGTTGCATAACTACTTTACAAAACCACTTCCTTTCTTTTAAGACTCATTTCCATGGTGACTTACACAAGACATCAGGTACTAAATAAACAAATCCTAAGGACACTCAAGAACATCTTTTACAACTTAAAGGCATATGAATAAAAAGAGACTATTTAAGAATTGTGCTTACTTGACTGTATTACTCTACCATTCAGTGTTTCCCATAACTGACTTCAGTTGGAAGTCTTGGAACAGAAGGAACTGTGTGGCTTTTGTACAGCAACACTCTAATATGAGAAAAGATTTGCAAGCATTCCACAGTTTGGAGACTCCCTTGCCACGTGAATAGGTTGAAAAGCCCACCAAAGAAAAGGGGATCTTATATTAATTAGGCCAAATTACTGTCTTAAAACTCTGAAAGCTAAATAACTAGCTGGTGGTGAAACTAGAGCTATTGTACCCTATCATAAAAAACGTCTCGTGTTACTTTTCTAAACTTTAAAAATTTGGTATTCTATTTTTCTCCCTGAAGTTACACACAGTTGTTAAAACTGAAGGTATAGTCCAAGCAAAGTTTTTCAATTGTGTCAAATACCTTCCCAGAATAATTTTTCCTACGACATACAATTTGTTTATAAACATGTAGTTATGTATGTGCTATTTTAAAATTCTCAAGTTTTTAAACAATTTGCACAATTTCCTTACTAACAGAGATTATACAAAATTATGAGGGCAAGTTTAGCATTACATGTATAGCTATATATAAAAAGGTACAGTGGCAGTGTTAATACAGTGTACATTGTGCACCTTTTTCCCCCAATTCATCTTTGTCACAAAGTACTGAGTATTTCAAATATTTGAGTAACTCAATATTTTGTTTGTCATTTTTCTGAACTGAACACACAATAACAGTTTTTATTTTACCCACTATAGCATTGTAAACTTACAGTGTCAAGAATAATCAGCACGACAGAAATAGTGCCATCTTACAGATACACTTAATAACAATATACAAAACGTACTAGGAGTCTTAGAATGACGAGGTGTTAAAAAAGGTATTTTGGTAAGTAATTTGTAAAGCTCACTCATACGTCTACGCTTGGATGAAAAGCAAAATTTTCAAACTCATGGGAATTAAAAACTTTAATCACAAAACAGTTCTATCAAAAAAATAACTTTCACTTCCACATCCAGACACTGAGGGTTACATTACAGCAAATCTGCATTTTGGGTGGGTGGGGAAGGTATTGTAACCCTTCACCAGGAACATGTCAGATATAGGTCTTCTGTATCACTTCATTTTCAGTAAGACCTCTACTAATACTCCTGAAACAACAGCTACCTTTTTATTAGATTTTCTGGTTCTCCCTGCATGCTACCATACTGCAGTAACCAACAGAACTTACGGTGATGATTCCAGTATGATGCTATTAGCCTGGGTGGAAGATGGAGATCTGTGATTTACAAATACTTCACTTGGGGATGTGTGAACTACATGGTCCACTAAATGTCCAACTGACGAGGGTCGTAACCGGGCTCCTTCTTGAGTGAAGGCAGAGTTGCGACTAAGAGGGGAAAGCACAGCAGTGCAATATCAAAAGAATATTATTAATCTACATTTCTTACACTACTACGAAGGAATACTAAAATAATTATTTACACTCAGTGCAAGCATATGTTCACCTACATATTTTTATGAAATAATTTAACGTTTCAAAAATCACTAAATTATGTTGTCAGATCAACACACTATATTTCATCATTTGCCTTTTTAAAATGTTAAAAATTTATTTTCATTAACACTAAATTACTAACACCTTTTTTTTTCCCTTCCCAATTAAAAGAAGCCTGAAAGAATTATGGTCAAATGAACTGACAGTCCAGTTAATGAGGAGAAAAATTAATCCCCAAGAAAAAAAGTCTGTACATGGCAGAACTTAATCTGAACATTTTACCCCCTGCATCTTCTCCTAGAAGGATCATAAGCTTTGCACTGAGAGTCTTACTTCTCTGACCCAAAATTTTCCCATGTAAAAAACTAGTATAGTGATATTAGCACCTTTCTTAAAATGCTTTAAAACATACCTGATTAACTTATACAATGCTATAAGCATCAATATATTACAAAATTAATTTTACAAGAATTTTTAAAAGCTACAGATATACACAACAACAGTCTTTTGAATAATATGCTGCAGTGCCAAAGACTTTTAAAACCTTCTGGTATATGCAATCCAGAATTGGGTAACACTGATTCTTAAGCCAGTTTCAGCATGCTGAAAAAACTGGCTATTTTCCCAAAGAAATCAGGAAGGAGTTTTCACTAACTATAAACATAAAACAGAAAGCTCTATCATGTGGGAAGAGTGAGCTCTGGGAAGAAATGCAGAAAAACTGAGGGGAATAAATCTGCAAGGATTTCTGATTAAGTAATTTACCCAATGTTTTAGGAAGTGGTATTAACTAGAATCAATTATTTCAAAAATATCACACAGATTTTATCAATAGGTTTTTCTTAGACAAATTAATAATTTAGTTTTAACTGTGCTCAAGAAAACTGAAGCTCTCAAATTTAAGGTAGCATGCTACATCTTACAGTTTTTATAGGTTGAATGGGAAGTACCTAAAATTCACCCCCCAAATAGTTTCTCTTACCTGGAGCTAAATGTTCCATAGAACCACTCAGCACATAATTTGTGAAGTTATTGTCTCCATAATGCATTAATCCTTTTATTATACACACAGGTCGCTCACATTGGAGGTTGACAGTTACTTCTAGAGAGAGAAGATTCAATGCTACTTACTGATTTGGAGTTCCAGGTGGAGACCGTGATGGTAGGCTTTGTGTTTCCAACCTATCATCAGACAGTGAATTCCTACTCACTACTTCCCAGTCCATCCCACTCATTAATTTCCGTGCCAAGGGTTTACTGGGGGATCTAGAAGAAGAAATTAAAATGACTAACCAAAAATTATATGAGGCAAGAACAAAATTACATAAAATTCACCACAATGAAACTGATTCATCCCTGGCAGTGTTTAAGGCCAAGTTGGACAGAGCCTTGGGTGACATGGTTTAGTGTGAGATGTCCCTGCCCATGGCAGGGAGCGGGGGAACTAGATGATCTTAAGGTCCTTTCCAGCCCTAACTATTCTATGATTCTAGGTTCTATCACAGACAACCAAATTATATGGAAGACAAGAAACAGAATTATGCAAAACTGTGTTTACGTGGGTATTTCTTTATTTTCTCAATATATTGTAATTAATTTTCTGTACTCTGTACAAGAATGTCAATGAAACACAGTCATAAAATACTGCTGGCTGGGATGGAGACAGTTAAGATGGAAGAGGAACCCACTGAACTTCACTAGACATTTCTAAAGCCTCAAGGAGAACCTGATTCAAACAGAATAGTCATTAATAGCTGAACTTAGAAATAAAACAGAAGACAAGCAAACAAATAAAAAAAAGCACCAAAAAAACCCAACCCTCTGAGTAACACTATTCAGCCATCTCAGGAAAAATAAAGCAGTGCAAACATCAGCCCAAAAAATGCCCCAAAGGCTCTGAAAAACTGAAAGTGGAGTAGTCGTCAACATGACAATGGAGCTCCCGAGTTTTGTTTACTCATCAGGGATTTTCATGCAGGTGATGCTTTCTTCCAGAACATGTTTTGTCACCTGTATGGTAGATGTAATCGTTCTATTTAAACTTCTTTGTGGGTAACCAAACTTCATTTGGTTCTGTGCAACAAATGTCCTTGAGGTTAAAGGTCATATCACCAATTTTTTTATACAAAAGTTACAGTATTTTCTATTTGTTGCCCTTTCTCGATGTTGAGGAAATCTTTACTACTCATTCTTGAGTAATCCCAGGATACTTACAATCCCCTTCTGCTGTTTCTTTCACCTATTTCTTAAGCACAAATGAGAACATACTTGCAATTCTTCATAAAATATTTTAATTCTCTTTTATAGTGGAGATTATCAAATGAATCACTGAAGAATTGTGGTTGATTTTTTCTTAGCATCAGATTGGATGCTTCAGTCATCCTGCAACTAAACATACCCAGACTTTTGCTGTTTGTTTTCAACTGAAACTTCTTTATCTGACAACAAAAATTCTTTCAAATAATCCCTAAATGTCCTGTGCATTTTGTGTTACCAGGCTTTTACTTTACTTCTCCAGTTTCAATGGTGCCATATAGTTCAAACTTCTCCCCTATCATTAACCAACCCTCTGATGTTCCAGTGAAACCTCAATTTCATCAGTCTTCTATGCCATGACCATTTCATTCTAATTTGCCTTTATATTCTACCACTACACTCTACCACCATGATTTAACCCCAGCCAGCAACTAAGTACCACACAGCTGCTTGCTCACTCACACCCACCAAGGAATGGGGAGGAGAACTGGGTAAAAAGTTAAATCCTCTTGGTTTTGATAAGAACAGTTTAATAACTGAAATAAAGTAAATAAAGTAAAACAAAATAACAACAATAATAAGGGGGGACAAGTGATGCACAATATCCGCTGAATGATACCCAGCCTGTCCAGAGCAGCGATGAGCCCCTTCCAACCAACTACCCCCAGTTTCTATACTGAGCATGATGTTCTATGGTATCCCTTTGGCTAGTTGGGGTCAGATGTCCTGTCTCTGCTCCCTCCCAGCTTCTGAGCAGAGCATGAGAGACTGAAAAGGCCTTGACCAGGGTAAACACTACTTAGCAACAACTGAAACATGGGTGTGTTATCAGTGTTGTTTTCATACTAAATCCAAAACACAGCACTGTACCAGCTATTAAGAAGAAAATTAACTTTATCGCAGCCAAAATCAGGACATCTACTTTCCAGCTTTGCACAATGAGGTTAAAACATACCATTGTATCAGCATAACTCCTTTATTTCTTTCTCTGGCTCTATACGCCACTATCACAGAATAATCTGTGCTTTAGCTGTTCTTGGGACACAGTGTAAATGTTATTTACCTTCATCATCATCTTACTGATTTACTGAAAGTGCAAGTCCAGAAGGAAGGAAATTTGAGAAATTAAGGAACTACCCACACACAAATTACATCCTTCTGAAAATGAGAACCTTAGTGCAAATACATTTTTGCTTCTCATGGAACTTAAAACTCAATGCAAGTCACCACCTTAAGCAAAAAAAAAAGTCTACAATGGTAACCAACCAAGTATCATATCAAACTACCTAACTTTACATAGGTACTTAAGTCCTACTGATGTCAGCGGTTAAGGGAGATGGGCTGGTCTAAATACTACTGTTTCAGGCCTTACTACATGCAGGGAAAAAAATATCTGACAGCACATTGATAATTGAAAACAGAGAAAATAATTATTTAATTCCTGAGGAAAACACACATCTGGTTTCTTCACTGTATTTAAGCAGTATTAATTTGACTCAAAAAGTAATTGGCTTGATATCATGTCAATTAAAACATTTCAACTTCTGTAATTTGCTTCAAATTGGAGCATCTCAAAATACTTAGCTATTTTTCTTCCCAAACATAGCAAATTTGAACAGTTTTGAACAGGTGAAATAACAAGAAACCAGCAGATTTGAACGGCATGTCTAATGTTACCTGTTCATTATTCTTTTATCAAAGTTATCATTAGCTAGACTTTGCTGACAGCATGCCTGCAGCCAGCAGATTAGCACCAAGAGCCAGCTTTGCCAGGAGGTGGATTCTAACTAACCAAAGAACAGGCTGAGGGAAAAAATGCAGAGGAACATAATATATCCAGTGCTAAACTGCATGCATACAGGTCTGCAGGTACAGTATTTTCCGACAGACATGTAAAACACGTGAATAAACAATAAGTGTAATATAGGAAAGTTGGTGTGTGTATACATATATTGTTTCTAAAGCGCAACAGTGAAAAGGCACTATTCTCGTCTGCATAAAACAAATTAAACTACAAAGAGGTCTCTCAAACAGAAATATATAGGGAGGGGGAAAAAACAAGTTTTTCCAAAATTTCATCTCTGCTTCAAAAAAAACCCCACTGCACTGTACCTTAAGTGATAGTTTGTAACTATGTTTTTGAAAACTTCCTCAATCTATGCAACAAATGAACATAACTCTAAAATGAGAAAAGCACCTTCTTCCCTATCAAAAAAATCCAATGTTAAGAAAACTCACCTTTTTCTGTGGATAGGGTCTGATCTTTCAGAAACAATAGCTTACTACCATGCTAAACAGCTGCAGCACTTACCAGCAAAGGTTCGTTTCAATTATTTTATTAACAGCTCTAACCTCAGAGTTCCACCCACATGTTTGTTGCCTCCATTTCCTGTCTTTGCAGAAATTTCAAAGAAAAAATTACCACACTGCAGCATCAACCTTCTCAGTGCTGTGGCTTTTTGACACTAGTCCTCCTGCCAATACTTCTAAATGTAAGTTATTTTTTATTATAGTGTAAGATTTATTGTGAAATAGTCCAGCAAATTTCTCGTGTGTTACTAATTCTTTACAATATTCAAGTAACTTTGTCATGCCAGAACACAGCTGAGGAGATGGGAAGGGGGAAGTAAGCCATAAAAGATTTTTTAAATTCTTTTATAAAGTTTGAAATTCTGAATTCCATGTTTGTCTGCTCAGTCTGGATGCTTCTACTGTACCTCAGCACAGGGCACTGCTTTTAACAGATTAAACTATTTCATATTCAATTTCTGGTATATCTGCAGAGACATTCCTAAAAATGTTGGAAGAAGCCCTATCTGAGCAGGGACAGAGAACAAAAACTTTACCTGCCCCCAGAATCAAGAACAGCTGCAATACTACATCAAAGACACATACAAAACCCACCAAGTATAAGGGATGAAATCACATAATGCAACTAAAAAAAGGCATGACAAATTATATTAACTCAGCTACAGTACACAAAAGCTTTCGAAGACAGAATTTGTTTTGCATCCTGCAAGTGCTAAATTCTTACAGGAGCTTGGAAAGAAAGAGGGTATTGTTTGGGAATACAGGTGGGAATCTTTTAAATCACTTCTGTCCCAGAAAGAAATGTAACCTGGAGCCGCAGCCTCACTTTGTATTTTGACAAAGGGCACAGGGATGTTTCTCAGCAAGCCTAGAAACTCCTGCTTCAGACCAAAAGACTGAAATTACACAAATCTGCAGGGTCACCACAAATTACATATGCAATTTAAAGCAACTGAGGAACTACTTAATTAACCTGAATAAATGCATGGTTGAAGCAAGACTGGATTTTGGGAAATAGAGATTGCAACTTAATGATAGGGAGTTTGCAAATACAATGACTGAGATACCCACTCACTATCATACAATACTTAAACTGCCTTCCAGTACACGCCATCAGAATTGAAGAGAATTACAATACTTTGCAAGGACTTTAAGAGCAAACAACGTTCTTTAAGAAATCTCTCAATTTATGACTTGATCGAAGTTTTTGCACTTTTATTATCTACTTTCACTTTTAGCATGCTCCTGGGAATTCTCACGGGTCTTCTCGTGTTGTGAATATCCTACAATAAATGAGGCCAAGAGAGTAGCTGTAATGAAAATGAAGAAAAGAAACCAGCCCAAATCTAAACAACCACAGCAACAGTCTTCTAAATGCTGAAGCTATTGCTACATGAAAATTAAGAAAAGAGCATCTACAAAATATATCGAATTTATTACAGACTATCTCCTTCACAGTAATAGATTCCATTTTTTTGAAGTTAAATTTAAGTGTTTTTTTCTGGCTTGGAAATCAAGAAATCCAAGAATACAACTGCAGCTAATTTTAAAGTAAAATCCTGAGGACAAAGAGCTAAGCCTGCTAATTGTAGGTTATAACTGCTTCTTTCATTCACATGGCTGTTAAGAAATTTTATTTCCATTTTGCTCTCTGTATGTTCCGCTCAGTGTGAAAGGATCGTTACTTGTGGCAATCACCAATTCCCAACTTAGAACAAACAGGTAATTCAAATAACATCTCAATAAAACTGTGTTACTTTCTTACAATGAAATTATTCAGAAGTTTGCTTAAACAGAATTAACTCAAATAAGGCAGTTCCTATGACTTTGTCTGAGAGACACATTGAGAAAGAGAAAGGATGGTTCCAGGAACAAAACCCACATTATACCGGGAAAACCTTAAAAAGCATAACTTATTCTCTGTACAAGTACAGAAGGGCTAACATCTACTCAGTATTTCAGCTTGAAATGTAGATGTTTAGAAGACCAAGAATAAAACATAATGTTCTTAAATTAAGCTTCTTGAACCACATATTGTTCTAGGAATGCCTTATGTTTCAAGTTTTTTCACCCTTAAAAATACTGTAAGTCTTTAAAATTGAAAAGGCATTAATTGCACACTGTGCTGGGGAGGACAGAGGACACATGAACTATTGAAAGCTTTTCGAGGTGTGCTACAATACACCATAAATTTCAGCTGACTGATGTACACACATATGCCTCAGACATTAACATTATTAAAAAGCTCAAAAGGTGAGGACGAACGCTGTATTCCTTAATCTAAAAGGCAACGGTGGAAAATAAAGTTACTGAGGACAGAAGAGCCAAGTATTTTTTAACTACAAAATGCCCAAAAGACTTGAGAAAACATCTGATCAGTTCTAGCCACGGCTTTCAATTTTATCCAGAATATATATTATAAAATACAAGTGACCCTGGCACCACTTCTTCAGTTCTGATGCAAAGGGAAGAGTGCCATCTACTGAAGAAGAGTTTTTAAAATGATAAATACATTCCTCAGAACCAAGTATTGGCTCACCTCCGCCCTACTTACTTGTGGGGATTGCCAAGTTCAGGGTGCAACAAGAAAAATAACTTTTAATTGATTCATAACTAATTTAAATAAATAAAACTCAGTTGTCACAGTGATGAGTCTTATGAGTACTAAAAATGTTTCCCCAAGTAAAAATTTAAGCAGGTTCCCAAGGTAAATTGAGTAAAAAAATAATTCTACAGCACACAGAACAAATTGGTTTTATAAAATCTGCCTGTTGAACAAACATGTTACAGCACTTCTGCCCTCAAATCCTTCTAATATGGAGCTAAGTACGTACAGCGTGCCCAACTGAAAACGCAAATTATATTACATTGTACAGGGGGAAAGAAGGCAGGGGGGATACCACAACACAGGAAATCAAGGCTCAATTCACCAATGCTCTGAAAAAGTGTTTGCAAGTACTTGAGAAACGTTGCTGGACTTGATACTAAGTCTATGAGCATAAACTTGAACTCCATAGTTCCTTAAGGGGTAATTATGTTAAAAGACATTCTGATTTCAGCAAACAGAGGACAGAGCACGGACCCTGCTCAGAAGGATTCTTTCTATTAGTGATCCAAGCAGACTGCAACACAGATGCAGCAGCAGTTTTACTTTTGAATACTGTATCTAAGTCCTGAATGAAGAACTAAATCTATATCTTGACTGTTTTCCTGTAATCACTAAAACCCTCAGGAATCTTAAACAAAGTGAAGTAATAGATTCTATGATTACCCAACTACTCTGTGACAGAATACCTTCAGAAGCACCTCACTCCCAAATTTTTCATAGTAAAATACCTCATTGGGACTACAGTGATAAAGCTGTTCTCACTAAGTGAGACACTCACAGTACCTTATTCTAAGGGAAGTATGTGTGGACAGTTGTAGGCTCTTATCAGGGATAAAACATACCCATTAGCTCAATATTTTAATGGAACAGTTCAAGAGACTATTCTTCGCAGTAAAGATAGCATAAGAAGGGCTAGTACATATAAGAACAAACGACGCAGATTGAAGGATATTCTGAAGGGGGAAATATTAAAGAATACCCTTATTAACTTTTTCCATCATAAGATTCTCCCCCATCTCTGGCTGCCTCAAAGAGACAAGCTCCCATTTCAAATCAAACTCCTTTATATGGTTAAGTCAAGCCACTAGCAACAGTTGACAACAGTTGCTCTTTATTTTACATTTTTGCATACAAAAAACAATGATCCCATAATAGCTAAAAATACACAAACAGGAGACTTACTGATCTTGTTCAAATGTAAATCACTTACCTTGCAAACACCCTGTCTTTGTTTGCTCTTTCTTTACCATACTGCACAGACTGGACCTCTGTTCTCCCACTGGAAAACAAAACAAAACCAAACCACTAAGTACAACAAATTTAGGATAACAATTTCTTGCTTAAAATTGAACCATTTCCACGAAAAAAAAACCCCAAAACCCAAATTCTACTTCACTCATGATCAAGCAATTGTGCCAGCTTCAGCACAGTGTAACTTTAGAAAGCATTTGATAGAAGTGGAGGTCTTTTTTCCTATTATAGTGTAACTACAACAAAGACCAATTAATTTCAGGCATAACATAAAACTTTCTCTTCTCTTCCTTTTTCTTCTTATCTGAAGCAGTAAGATCTTTGGATAACACTATAATCTTTCCTGTTATAGCCACAATCAAAAGTTACAGCATCCCCTCTCCACTCTTCCTACTATTCCCTGAATTGCTAATAACTTAGTCACTACTTAGTTCAGCAAAATACCATGAAGAAATTCGATAATAAGCACATCAGGCTTGTATTCTTCTACACAACTTGTCAAAACCAAGATTAGATCTTGGAACTTGCTGACTTTTCAGATAAGACCAGATGTCTTGTGTCAAATCAAAAGATCCTTTATAATATTTCATAATTTGTTTTAGAAAAAAATACAGTGGGTTTTGGTTTTTTTTTTTTAGTGTCTATCAGCAGTTAAGAACTGGGGGCAAGATACCAGCAAATCTCCCTCTTCCAGCCACTTCCCCATTTATAACTTTAGACCAAGGCACAGAGTCAGAAACCACATGTCCTAAAATGATACTCATGCTTAAAACTCTGCTCTTTTCTGTTCCTTACAGCGATATTCACACTACAAAATAAACAAATAATTAGCTATTTTCATATTTGTATTACAGAACTGCTCATGGCAGGGGGGTTGGAACTAGA